TTGACTATTACACAAGAAATTCAGCAGTAAGCTCCATGTACTACGCTTATTACGGAAGACGCAAACCGTATGAGTAGTATTGAATCATATCAGAGTGTGCGTAAATATCAAGTCGGTTTGATAGAAAGCGTGGTTTCGAGATCAAAGTACGATGATCAACATACAGTCAGCTATGTTTTGAGTGTTATGAGCTTCCGAACTGTTCAGTTTTATATCTACATTTAATTATTTGTTTCTCAAACTGGCTCTGCCAGTTTGCTCGAAAGCGCCTCTGTTGATGATATAACCCGAATAAACTGGAAACGCAGCAAAGTTCCGTGGAACATTAGGGCTAATAAAATGGTCTAGTAATAGACCATGTGCTCCCGAAATGCAATGTGAGAGGTTCCTAGTTTAATGACTGCTCTCGATGTGTATTAGGCTAACACATTTCACCGAGGGTGAATCAATGTTCTTGTTGGTATTTGTGGGGTCACGCTAACCAGAGACAAGTGCAAGCGGCCTGCCAGTTATTCATCAGGTCGTATCCACTGCTCTAACACAAAGACTATGGGTTGAATAAGTAAAGGTCGAGATTCCCAATAAATCCGAAAACTACGGAGATAGCGAGGTGGAGATAGACACGAGAGAGAGAGAGAGAGCAGTTTCATTCTTAGGCCCATATCACATGCTGCCTGCTAACGTCAAGGAACGAATAACCTGTTCAACTTGAAGGCACTTTATTATTCACGAAGTCTTACATCTGCTTGTCGTGAAAACTCGAGGGTTCATTTGATACGTAGGTATTTGATGACATTACCGAAAACAGTGATGCAGTTGTTCATTCAAATTACAATCCGATTCCGATGACTTTGGGATAAGTCAAGGTGGTTGTACTTTAAAAATCTGAAAGTAGAGCTTGATATAATCCAAGATGAAATTTTAATCCAGTAACAATTGTTGTGGAGCGTGCATCTCACGGCTTTAGAGCGAATCTAAATTCGTCTCACAGACGGCTCATCATTAATCATAAAACCGTACTGGAATATGATAAAAACTGTTGGATCTGTCTGAAGCCGACAGGCCCCGGTATTCGTTCGGGCAAACAGTTCATGTTTGCTTTGCAGTCAAGTTACAAAACAGTCACCAGTTCAGCGTATACACTGGCTGTATGTGGATCGGCTGAGGCCAGGGACAATTTTGCTCGTCTGTTATCTTCGCTGCACCATAACGTACTTCATGACAATAATGAGTGCTGCCATTTATTTACAGGCTCAGTTTAAACTGCGGAACAAGTCACAACTGCCTATTGGTAGCTCATTTGCTTTCTAACCGTAAAAACTCATTGTGTTTGGCGAATGGATAAACTGTACTCAGATATGCGACAGTACCGTATCATAAAGCAAGCTCTTGTGCACGCACAGCATGAGGTTCAACGAAACTATGTTGCTTTTGGTGAACCTGGGTGCGGATCGTTTCGAATCTGTCGCAATATGGCCCAACTCTGTTGCCTTAGTTCACGTCTTTATCAGTGTCAAAGTTTTCTAGCCTCATGCAGGTGCACGAAAGTTTCTCAAACAATCGTCCCCCACAGCTGCTACTGGACAGCGAACAAAAACCTGTGTTCCCAATGGCGAATTTTACAAACGATTGTTAGTGTACTTAGGTGCTTAAGATCCCGGTGAACGCTAAATCTATAAAAGATGACTTTCTTGATGTTGGTAGGGCTGTGGGTGATCACAGAAACCGACAGGAACAAGATCAGTGGGTAGCTGCAGCCTCAGATTAGGTTGTAAGAGCATTCGGATTGGGTCAGACCGACTGTAAATATTATGATGTAACAAACAGCGGTGGATGCCAACTGATTTCATTTCGATAATTGACCGTTAGCAGTACTTTATGGCAAATAGCATGGATATGAAGACGGCTGTGCTGATCGGCCAAGACAGCAGAAATGTCTGTTTCCATAATTCTGGTTGATGTTTCCCAATTATTCAATCAGAATATTGACTCACTTATTCCGACTCATGAGCTTCATTTACAGCACTCAATGAATCATTTACAGAGGTATTCCAATAGGTTTTTTTTCTCGAAATAATGCAGTTTTGGCACAATAAAAATGGTTCTGGATGTATACAGCTGCCTTCAATCTGGTGCACTAATTATTTGAATGAATGTTAGTGATAGATTGGAGCTTGCCGTTATTTTTCATCTAAGACAACCACAGAAACTACCTCGCGTCAAGGCTAGCTTACTTTCTTTCCGATGGACTTCGCACTAGTCACGGCCATAATAACCAACTGTTTGCCTAAATTATTCAGATATTTGGGACGCTTCTACGGTAATTTTTAGCCGTTGAGATAAGAGGAACTTTACACCCAAAACGGGTAAACATTTCAAATGAAACTTTATCCTCAAATGTTGAAAACACAAGCAAGGAACGGAACCATTATTATTCTATACTGCTACAACTTTGAAGGTAGAAATCGGAATATGGAGTGGGACAACAGGTGTTGTTTTCCCAGAGAGTTCTCGATGCATCGGGTGCGAGCATCCAGGAATAACCTTTTCGGCGGGTTAAATATATGCTGCTATGTACTTACCACATAAGTCCGATATGTGGTCCATTATGATCATACCAGAAATAAGACTAACGATTCGCAAGCCTCTACGAAACGTGATGTAGTCCTTTTTCAACAGACCAGAACAAATTATGGGAGAACTACAAAGAAAAATGAGAAATATACTGTGATATAAAAAGAGAGAAATGAAAGACTGCGAAGTACTGAAAAGTCAGAGGTTGTGTGCTGGAAGGACCATCTAAGCAACTTTTTTTTAAACAGTAAATAATGTAAGTGAAGGCCAGTTACACCGAAGTATTCAACGTGACTTTCACATGAGGTAGAAGTTGAGTCAATAATGGTGCTGTCTACTATAAAACGTGATCTTGAAAAGGAAACATGAAGTCGAAACATTTGGTATTGTTTAACGGTCGACTGTTTAATGAAACTCCTCGAGATAGGATTTCCGAGTAACAGACCAAGCTAATCCAATGTCATCGGCTTGCTTGACCAGACAGATTCCCTGGATTGCAGTTAAAGCGATTATGTTAGCGGTGAACATATATATATATATATATATATATATATATATATATGTATGGGGAAAGAACAACTCCTTGGTGAACACTAGCACTGTTCAGGCGATGTCTGGAAACGTCTCTTCCAAAGTTGGTACATAATGTTCTACTCGAGAAGTATTCATTCAGACAGTCAAGTAATGCAAATAAAAGATTCCAATTTTCTGAGAAACAAGAGTCGTGGTAAACTAACGAACGCTGACGTATAGTCAAGGAAGGCACAACTCACTCACTTGCAATAATCATGGAGGGATTTTGCAAATGAAGGAGTATGCAGACTACTGCACCGATCGCGGAGTGCAGGTGTTTGTAAACAAATCGGTATTCGTTGGTAGAACTTCTTGCTTTGTCTTGGTTGCCGTTCGGTTACTCGATTTTTTCGGTATGAAAATGAATGTGACAGGACGCTAATAGTCAGACATGGGGGACGGTGTAAATGGATGATTGATAACAGTAGTCATTAGCTCAGAGAGAAGTCCAGCACTCGGTTTGAGTATTGCCGAAAGTAGACCGTCCTTTCCAGAATGATTGGTTAACTTGAGGAACCTGAAGTGCTCAAATTATCCATCCTGGAGATTTCCGATTTCCGAACTATTGACCAGTAGTAAAACTAGGGGTGCATCATCCGAGTAACGAACGAAATGGAAACTTAGATGGTCACCATCCATATATGTAGATGGGAAATTTTTCTTCTGACTACAATGTAGTCTGATCCCATGCCAACTATGTTTGATATTTTTGGAGTGCATATACTGTTGAGAGGAAATATAAATTGCAAGAGTTTGATTTATTTCTCGATCAAGCTCCATAGTCTACTGATCTCAGGTTGTTTCCGGGTTCCGCAGACAAACTTACTCCTGCGCAAGCGATTTAGATACAGATACATCCATGGTTCCTGGATGGAAGCAAACCGGTCCCGTGAAACAATAAATGGTGAATACGTGGTTTATATTTACAGATGTGAAATATACCGAGAGGAAATGGCTAAAGCTGTATTGTAGCCAAGAGGCGGCTAGAAACAAAGAACAGTTGATTAGGAAAAGGTTTTCTTTAGATAAATTCCGATGAGAAAAACGGATCTGTTTACACTGTGGGATAAGTGAGCATGTTTTGAGTATATTTTGGGCAAATATGTAATATACTAAGGGCCCCATAATGAGGAATTTACCAACTCTGACAGAAGAACATTCTAGATAATTAGTTGTGATTAAGTACAAAATATGAAATACTGAGATAAGAATAAGAACAGATAAGTAGAAGCATGAATAAAGTCTCTTAAAATGATGTGTACAACGACATCTATCAATGAAACAGAAGAAAGTGACAGTGCTTCGTGCTGTGTAAACATTTTTGTTAAAAAACGGTAAAACGAAGAAACTCATCGCGAACTCAGGAAGATATGCTGGAAACCCCTATTAAGAGTAGGAAGAATGAAACTGGACTTGATACACCACTTGAAATTTAGAAATATATATATATATATATATATATATATATATATATGTATATATGACAACGCCACCACCTGTTTTCCGTGGAATTCTGTCTTCACTGACGAAAGCCTGAATAGGTTTTCATTTCAATCACAAAATCATCCACGTTCGGAATTCAGCCAGGTTTTCTGGAAGCAAAGAACTTGCACACATTTACAGCGACACGAGCTAAAAGCAGGCAAATTACGTCCGGAAACTTGTTGAACATTGAATGCGGGTTGTTTGTATAAAGATTTCTAGTCTGTAAAATATAAATTCATATGTATTGATTCAATGGTAATTTGCTCGTAACCCTATTGGAGAAAATATTCATTTTTCACTCTATTTCGTTTTTGCCAGAAGTGCTTGGGGAACAAACTTTAATTTACACATCAACACTACAAGATATAATGGAACTGAGAGGTTTAAGTGAGTTAAACTGTGTATCCTTGGAATCATAAGCACGCATACAAATCATATGGAAGATTTATCTTAGAAGTTCATAAATCTAATTGGTAGTTGACAGGTATGCCCTAAAATGTTCGAAATATACTTATTCCAATTACAAATGCTTATCATCTATAATTCGCCTTCAAAAAATTTCGGTAATCTATTTGAAAAAATGGAAAATCACACTTTTTCAAACGAGGTGACAAAAAACAGTTACCAGCAAAATGCACAGAAAATGCTATCACTCAGCGTGGCCCAGAAGTTCAACCTTCGGTCTGACCCGGTAATCGGTAATGCCGGAAGTTCATGTTCATTGTTTCTCTGGTCCCTTTCCAAACCACGGAACAATAGAAACTCCCCTATCATTGTTCCTAATCGTGCAACCTCATTTTTCATGAAAGCTCAGTCTAATGCTGTCACACAAATGCTTTTCGCAAATTAATGCGTTCATACCTTCAAACTTAGCTGTATCAGCCACAAACGTGATGCGACCGGAAGCGGGCTTTTTTGCTACTCGTGCTCTTTCGATATTATGGAATGAGATTATTCATTTTGCAAACTGTGTCGTATGTGAACATGACTGCGAACGACTGGGCCGTCAGGTGAACTGCTTAGTCATGTCAAATAATTTTATGAACTCTCTCTTGTGGTTTACGGAATTCACGACTTGTTCACTGAAAAGATGAAAGTTGTGCGAATCGAAATAGATCAAAAAGGCCGAGTAATTCCCAAGTATATTTGGGTTGAAAGCACTATCTGTAAAATCGCCACTGTTTTCCCGCATCACACAGCATTGTATTCATAAATTTAAAGATCACCAATAAGTTAAACATAAGGGCTACATGACTGGGTCGTTATGATGAGCCCTCGTTTATCGTAATTTTTCTATTCCACGAAAAATTGGGCTCATTTTTCGGTTGAACTAAGTAAACGGTGTTTACGCAACAGGAAACATTTGAAGCTCCATCAAAATGGATAAATCAGTTTCATTATCGAAATTGATAAGTCCATGCCTGAAAATGCCTTGAATGGATCAGCTGGGCATCCTTGTAAAGCACATACCAATGAATATATTTTTGAGGAAATGATGATACAATTCAATTAGATAATCATCCGTGGAGAACTAAGTTTTGACCTCTCTTTGAATTAAAAGGGGAAAATTATTCGCACGGATGCCCGATAAATTTCTTATCGCGTAAATTTTCTCTGGTATCAATCTTCCAATCCTCAATAGCTTCACATGTTTCTCACACAGTACCATAATCTTTGTGAACATTCCTACACACCTTTTTCATCCAAAACAGTGGATCGCTACAATTCAGACAAGAGATCTGGTATGTCTGTTCATACCACTGAAAAGTTTCTGTTGGTCATTCGTCTCTTCCTAAGATCACTTCCAGTGTAAAAACTCCATTACCCCTTTTCGCCGGTTGTTTCCCGGTATTAAATATCTCGGGTTTTTAGTTCTAAGTTTTGAAGTTCGAACCCCAGTGCTGTTGGATAAATGCGATTTCACAGTTTCTGCACTTCACCAGCTGTGTTCCCACACGGTTCTTCATTGTGACTCCCACTGTTGCGGTTGCTAGAAGGTCCTGATAATTTCCCGGCTCATCTGAATAAGTGACATTTATGCGGCTCTCATTCGCGAACAGAGATACACTTGAAAATAATGTGTATTTGAAAAACAGACTACATTTGACTGACAGCCGTCGCAGGTTGAATTTTGTGAACCGAATATCCAGACATTCTGGGCAATGGTCTTACATTTGCTACCGGTAAAATCGTTCATTTTGATGGATTTTGCTTCTGAATTTCTTTTTCTCGAAGCACGTTGTGCAACTACTTTCCAATGAAAGAAAATTAGAAATGAACACAAAACTTTATGAGATGAAAAAAGACTATAAGAGCACGATCCATTCAAACTATATCTCTCTTTGTTTAATTTGTTACTCAAATGATTTTGACAACTTTGCCGTGCATCACAAACACCCTTTAAACGATTGTGAGTGTTTAAGTCAACAAATACGATAACAATTCCGGAATAATCGTCCCAGCGTGACCGAAGGAAGCAGTCTTAGTGCAGTGAAAATAACAAGAGACTGTTAGTTCTTACTGGCTATGTTAACTGTGTTTGTTTCAGCTTACGCATTTACCGTGCCCTGCTCTGCTGTCACTTGGCGTATCATCACTTTATACGTTGACGGCATGTTCAGTTCTGCAGTTGAAGCCTGGAAGATGAATTTCGTTGAAAACGGTTGAAACCGGTCAGGTCGTTTATTGAGATTTGCTGAAAACAATTTTCCATTTTACTGTTTCATTTCTGTCTCAGGTAAACCAAGTGAGTTGTGTGCATTTTCCATCATGTATTTCGGTTTGACAGCTTTCATGTTACTTTACTACGTACTGAAACTCTGACTCTAATTTATGGTCTTTGGTGGTCAAGAGCCATCACCTTAGATGTACTAGGACCTAAGCTGAAACTGACGGGGAAATAAATGGATAACAGCAATCTGCTGATGTGTGACTCCTTACCAACAGTGATCAAACAGGGGAGATTTATTTATTCATCTCTTCAGGGTTCAGATTTATGGTTGTCGGTATTCCGCGACTGTTTTCTGGATTTTTGTGGTAATGCATTCAAATTTATTTATCTGGTTTTATTAGAATAAGAGCGGACTACATAGAAACCTCTGTCGTGACAGCTCACAATAAGTTGCTGGCAGTGAAGTTTATTTCTAATATAGGATGGGATAGTTAAACAAATGTGTTAGTCCTTCCCGGGGTTCATCTAATAGACCTGGGAGATGTCGCTGTAAAGAGGCTTATGTAAGCTTGTCTTTATGTGAAGAAGGAAGTAACCCACCTATGTTTTACTTCTCACGTTCATGTTGGTAAAAAACCTAGTGAACCACAGCGAATAATTTAACTACTCCGTTCGGGTTACAATCGGTTGGATGTGAAATAGCAATCGTAAATAAAAAGTATACTCGCAAATTATTGCATTTAATTTGTGAATATATCGATCATCAAATCGGGGAAATTTCTTTAAAATTTCGGTATTATTGTCTGTTTATTCCAGATAACCTCGGTAGGTCCATTACCACAATGTGATAATATAAACATGTATTTTTCTTCAACGCACTGTTGAAACCATGTTGAAGGAATTTAACAAACGATATACTGCTACCAGGTTTCTAATAACTGGGTGGAAAGTGGAAACAATACAGCGAGAACTTAGCTAGCAAGGACTAACGGGCTGATTCTTGGCTTTACGCATTCCAAGTGGGCAAAGTGAACAAAGTGGGTAGTGTCACACTGCAGTCATAGACTGATTTGGAGAACAAAAAAGGAAGCGACGACTGTGGTGCAGGTAAAATAGGGCAGATGTATCCGAATTTCCATCCGCCTTCACTTTTCCGCGTGGCGATGAAATTTATCTGGTCATACGAATATTAGACTGCAGTTGAGCTCCGTCTTCCAGTGGCCGCTGAGCAACACTTTTAGTGTAAAAAACGTATGGACCTGCATGTGCAATAATGACAAACGCTTTTATGTTACCAACATCCACAAAAACCTTAGCAACTGGCCCCTGAAGTGCCGCATTTTGTGATCGGATCAGATCAGTAAGTGAGCTGTGGCTTGACAAACTGTTTCAAGCCTTTACTTAGTGGCTTTCGGTGCATTGGTTGCTTGCCAGGGTGGTAATGTTAGTTGATTTTTCTGCTGCGTATCATTGGTCACAGAAACAAAACACTCCCGTGGAGCCGATATATTAGCACATAATCCTTTGGAGTCAGGCCCGAAGTCGATTTTCTTTCGCAACTGCAGCAGTCTTGGTCTTACAGCGCTACTCCGGAAAGAGGTTCATCCAGAAAGATGAGCATTATTGAAGGGTCTGTTTAATCAGCAAGTTTGTTGCAGCTGTAAAAGTTCACGCGGCAACGGTGAAGACAAATCGAATATCAGATTTATTTGCCCCATTCTATTCGCACTACAGTCCTCGATTCCCCTTTTGTCCTCGAAGTCCGTCTGTGACCGCAGTGTACCTTTACTCGCTTCGTTCACTTTGTCCAGTTGGAATGTGCAAAGCCGACTGAAAAGCTTGCACCTCTTTATTGGTCATGTTAATGATCGCCACTCGATCACCTGGTTGGGTTACATGGTAGCTACTGAGTCGCTTAGCTCTGGTCATCCCACGGTCGAGTCCTAGTGGATAGTTGTGGAAGCACAATAGAGTGCAATATGCAGACGACGAGTATACGGTGTAATCACCTGCCATTTGTTAGAAAAAAGCATTGTCATACATGAATCTAGATACAGTTAAAAATAGGTCCCCCTTGGGTTTCATCCCACCGTATACCATTTGTGCCATCCATGAGAATGATGCCCTATTGAGCAGAAGAAAGTCAATTCAATAAATCAATTTCGGAGAGGTTTCACTCTGTTCTTCTCATCCTTACACACCCGTAGGTGCCTCACCCAATATCAATGTGTTTCTCTGAAAAGGTGGCAAAGTTATTTGATTGAATAAAAAGCTTTCTTGATGAATTTGATGATTTGAGAAACAATAATATGGAAACAAAGTCAAACTAAATTATCGCACAACCGTTTCAAAATTCAGACAGTACGTGCAATTCCGCGGTAAACAATTTGCATATTGCTGTGAAGCATCTGGATGAACTGATGGAAAAAATGCAAACCAGACTGCATTCACCAATTGAGAATAGTAAGTGAGAGTTGTTTTGTCCCGAAACTATGTTACATATTTTGATAAATATAGAATGAAATATTGAATTCTTGCACGCATAGTGGAAACTTGCATATATATATATATAAATATATATATATGTATATATATATATATATATATATATATATATACCTCCTGGTTCTCAACCTGGAAATGTATTACTTCCAAAGTGTCAATGTTTGTATGCTACTCCGACAATAGCCCAAACCAAACTCAGTCTCTAATAAGTAGCAACGGACAGGCGAGGCCTGTTCTCAGTCGTGACTGGTCGAAAAAAGCGATCCATTCGACCGAGCAACCCAGGGTCGACCACTTATAGTTCACAAGTTTCTCACTTCATACAGCAAGGGCGACTTTTCGCCTGAAACACAGATTTACTGAAATATAACATGGGAGAAACAATTTGGGAAGTGGAAAGGAGGACTACAATCAGGCCCGACTGGGCTCAACGGTGACCGGAAATTAAAGTGGAATACATATCATTATTCGTACTACACATTTATAGGATGACACACATACAACTGAGGCGAAGAAAAGTATTAGGATGACGTACATATTCTCTATTCTGAGCAGCCAGTCTGACGTATCTTACTGATAGGGTGTTTCGCGTGAGGACTGTACCGTTCCTAATACCCAACCTACTTTGCTTCGTAACAATTTATTCTACCAATCAGTGTCACAGCCCATCAACTTTCGTTGACCAACCAAATTTTTAAGCTTTTCGCTATATCAGCAGTGCATTATCCTCCACAAAAACCAGCTTTCGATGGCATGTTCGATGTCAACCAATGTACAGTGTTTTTCAGTGGTTATTGTTCAAACGATCATTGTTTGGAGAAATAAGTCATCAATACTAAGCCTAGTTTGACAAACTCGGAGAAGGATGAGAATGGTGTCAATAATAATGTTCTTGTAATGTAGAAGAATCCGGGGAGTATTTCCCTTCTTCTTTCTGCCCTGCTCTTTACCAGCTCATACTATAAATTTGTTCACCTCACCGACGAATAAAGAATGCCCACTGCTGTTGACAACACAAAGAATGATATCGCTAGGGCCTTCTACATAAATCCCAGCTGAGTGACTGCCTGAACCTCAAATAACTCAGGAAACGGATTTGATGTAGCTGAACTATTGCATCTGACGTGCACTTTTTGGTCTAGGTTTCAAATTCCTCAAAGTCTCTGTTTTCAGCCATCTCATATAAAATGGTCTCAAAAACTACATCAGTGAATCGGTTTGACCAGGATATTTTAGTTAACACCCCATCGGACTGATTGAATTTGGTGCATTTAATAAACCTAAGTGAACTGGTGCATTCATATCGTAAGCACCCGTTATTTGAAGAAAACGGCCCCATCCTCCTTCTTAAATGGAAATGCAGGTTTCCACAAGGCAGGCATTATGCAAACCAAATTTAGTGTGTTTTTCCTATTCGGAAGCCATGGCTAGCATTTGAATAACTACAGTCCGATCGGAGAAAGAATCTTTTTGTAGTGTTTGAAGAGTATTTTTCCCCTGTATGACATTTTGCTACAGTGCGGAAGTCTGACCAAGGAGCACACAGCGCAAAAAACCTGTTTATTGTACACATTCTCAAATAAGCCCTATCGGTTCCTTTCGACTTTCGAGGTAAACAGGCCTTAGGCCAATGTATTTGGTTCATGACTAAACAAAAGTGACCCATGTTGCATTCCACTTCGGTAAATTATTTTTCAGCAAATACTACCTTAGAAAATAATTGAGAGGTTGAAATACCAGACAATCGAAACTAATTCGGTCTACTCATTGACGATAATCAAATAAAAATGCTAAAGAGCTGGAATCAAGAATTTCACCGACTAGATGGGCTGCTCAATCATACATTCCATTTCGGAAGCGTTTTTTTTTTCTGTGGGTTATTTCTGATCATCCTAAAGTAGACAAGAATATGCACACAGTTTTCGGTGGTTGATATCTGTTTCAGTATTTGTGATTAAATGTCGTGAGGCATAAATCAGACTGAGGGTAAAGCATTCAACAGTTTGCTCAGTGGACAAGATCCACCACGGAATATTGAGCTGACTAACTAGGATCTGATGCAATCAATTCAAAATCAGGTACACAACAAGTGAGAAAACGAACTTCCGTTAGGTAAAAACATCAGACCACTAAGTTGTTTATAATGAAATGCGGTTCACTGAAACGTGGTATTAGTATCACTGATACTTTTCTGTGTCTGATAAGTGAATACGAGATGAGAAGCAATTCGAGTTTTGATCTGCCGATTATAATAGAGCAGCAGAAAGCCTTCGAAATTTTGGTTGGTCAGTTAACCTCTACAAGAGAACTCAATGTTCCACGCGCTTCTCATTATCTATCTTCTCACACCGACGCATACATTTTATTGTGTAATTTTTCCATTATAACTGAAACGACCCAAATAGCGAAATCCGTTTACCGCGATGGTACTGCGACCCACAAATGGCCTGATAATTTTCCCGTTTAGGTTAATTCAGATTTTGTCATATTCTGTCGAATATTTCTTCAAATTATCACTGATATTATTTAAAGCATCTTAGAATCCCATGCTTCACCAATTTTGATGTGTTCAAACAGTAAGTCCCTAGACTAATCAGGGGCTTGTGGGAACCTGACAACTACCCACGGTTTTCTTTCTTCGTGCTATAGGAGTCGAGGTCTTCTACCAACAACAGAATGGGAATATCTACACTTATAACACTTCGTCAAAACTTCAAAGTGAGCACCAGGAATCTGCCTATTTTATCAAATTTGAACAACGATTTTGCAGATGAAAGGGGAAAACTGCGTTTTCCAAACACCGAATAAGCAGTTCATATTTATAGCTGATGCTTAAATTGTGTACGCTACAGAGGAATCGCCGCCACTGCTTGTGTTCCTTCAATGTATGCAAGACAACAACTTGAGTGAACTTCACCAAGTTTCAGTGGGTTTTCTAGTGAGTAGTTTTATGGGCTCTGATATTTTTGCTGCTTTAGTAAAGTTTCAAACAAATTTACAGTATGGGTAATAAAACGTCATTCGTTTTCATTGTACGGCCTATTCAATATGTTTGTTCCTATTCCTGAATGTTTCTACTAGCCAACGTGACAATAAATAGCGAAGGGTGTATGCAGCTGTGGACTAATTATTGTAGCATAAAGTATCCTGCATTGGTCAAATGATCACCACGATTATGTCAAGACGTCGTGATGATCTAGCCGTCTCCTGCTGCCTTCGATCGCTCACTCATACAAAAGCGTACGTGCAGTAAATATATCTCTGAAATAGTGTACCATTTCCCATACATACACAGTAAAAGCTGTTGAATCTGAACTTCCAAGATTGTAACCAGAATAAGTGAATGCAATGTATATCTCAAGCTCAAATTGGTGCAATCAAGTCACATCTGACCTTAATAGCTGTTCTCTTTGCGATAATCAAGATGAATGTCAAATAAGAAATGAGAGATTGATAATCAGTGTTTTCCTGGGAAGGGTATGCATCGAGATTTGAATAGTCGTCTGTCAGAATCTGCAGGGAGGCTTTCATATTCCACGGAGACATATCGTCAACAAATATTGTCGCGACAGCACAAGAGCATGAAAGGTTGTTATTATCGAATTTCAGTGCATTTTCTCATTTTATAATACAGTTTTATAAAGAACGCTCGATGAAATGAGACGGAGAAAGTACATCTGGCAAAATAAAAGAGACCCATGGAAGGTGGTTTTGTTTGGACTCCGGTTCATGAAGTGAGTAGCAAAGGCTATACAGCTTGGCTGGAAGTGCGGCGAACAGAACGGATTAGTTTGCATGGTAATTCTCAGTATTCCAATGGATTCACTCTGGATAGTTTTTAACTGAACAGCAGTGACCCCTGATGCCAAATCACTTAGTTGTGATCAGCCGTGAATTCGATGTGAACATACACAACCTTGAAAGCAATCTGGAATTATTCCCGACCATCGTTCAATGAAGGCTATCTCATAATATTTGACTGTGTCTCATTTTCAGAGCAATGTGTCAGTGAAGACAACTACGCTCTTCGACTTGAACAACTAAGTAGCCTGGAAAATAAAAGTGGAATAGATTAGGTGAAATCTCACCGTGTGCTTAAGCACAACACCGCTTTAGGAAATATATAGTGGATATGCACGAAAACATCATGGAGATAAGTGGTAAAAGACAGTCAAATAAATTGATTAGGCAAATTACTTGATGAGTTTTGTTTTAGATCGAGAACTCATTTGCAATGACAGAGAATGAGGCAATGTATTTTGTTCATGTGGAAAAAAAATGATTTTGGTTTCTCCCTTAAGACTTCAAGCAAGCTTTCACCACTATCCTTTCTGTATTATTTTCCAGTCAACTTCATCAATGCCATGAATGCAGCAAAATCAGCGACAAACAATTTATTGATCGATTTGCAGCAATTGAAGCTTGAATTGGTTGTCGATCAAATCTAATTGAATAAACTCGTGGTTCGCTTGCAATACAGAATATTCGGAATTATATCTATCATTCTTCTCTGGAGTTTGGCAGTTTCAGTTATTTCATACTGTAGTCCTATTGCCACATATGGAACTCAATGGAGGACAGTTAAAAATATGTTAAGATGTTTTATGTGGGATGAAGTTCCTTATACCTCTCCGGTCTACTTTCAAGCATGGACTTCTATCCACAATCAATAACCAATGAGAAATCCCATTTAGTCCCGGAGACTCAACGGTAGATGAAATATTGACACAGAGATCTGTGATACAAACAGTGTTTGACGATTTTCAAGAGAAGCAATAGGTGATGTATTTGACTATAGACCTAGGGTGTTTCTGAGGGAACGTTTTCTAGTTTCTGTAAACTGGATGACGAAAAATACTACGAAACACCGTGGCAAATGAAGTGGCTGAGAGGAGTAGCACACGAAGGCATTCAGTACTTGAAGTCGACGATCCTCTTAAAGAGTTAGGTCAAGAACGAATTCAAAGTGCGCGTCGACATCATCAAGGAAGTATTTATTCTTTTGTAGGAGTAATCACGAAATGGTAATGCGTTTCACCTTGAGTGCAGCAGCTGCTTTTGTCTTTCTTGGGTTGACTACTTTTCAAACGAATCGTAAAATGTATGTTCATGCATAAATATGTCAATGAACCGGATCAGGTCCATCATCATTTGAATTATAGGTTGGCCAATTGAAAGAACCAACCTTTTTCGGCGAACTGGTTACGCTGTGTTCATTTCCATATTATTGTTCAAGAATAGCGCACAAAGTATTATGAAAACCTATAGTCGGAAATGAACTTGATTTTTATTTGAGCGCTTGGTCGAGCAAAAAATCTCCAATTCCAGAAAACGCTTTTTTGTGAATGCCTTCGGATTTCATCTGTACAGGAGATCCGATTTTTCCATCTTTGATAAAGTTTACCGGTTCAGTTTGGTCCTAGCATTTATTGATTCACGTGTTATGCACAGGAATGAGAGTTTTATTTGACTGGCAATAAATGAATAAAAAAGCTTTTGCTCTAAAGGAATCGGAACCGTTCATACAAATTGCAATAAAGGTCAAACACTAGAGAACAGGTTTACAAATTGCTGATCTGGAAACAAATAACCTTATTTTCAGTCCAGTTTATATGCCTCAAACTCTCGCGTCTGTTTTTCTAACATAAATTCTCTTGGAGTGTGCTAACGAGGACACATCAGATTGCTTACCATTGTCTGCATGGTCCATTGAAAGCATTCACCGATCAAACTTAGTGACTAGTTTTCCCACACAGATACCAATTATGAGACTCACTTAGTTTTTCCCCAGAAACCAAATAGCGCATTCGTTAGTCCTAATAGATTAACACTGTTCCGTTTGCATCGATTGTGTTGTGATTGAAGTGGAAGATTTCATGTGTATTTGCGACAGCTTCACATGTCGTCAAGTGAAAGCGAATGAAAAAATTTCCGATCGTTTGAATTCAATCAGACATGCGTTTACTTTTATTGGTGCAATTTAAAAACAACAGGAAATTGAAGGTTTGTTGAAAAACCTGGAATAAGAGGACAGGGACCGATTTGCCAAATTTATTGACTTATACTACCGTATTAGAAATTGCCATTAGAGCAAAGATGAATTACGCAAAGCGTACGCTGCTTCGTCAAGGTTCTTAAGTGAAACACTGACTCACTGGTTAAGATATAGTAGACTTCATGGTTAGCTGTGGATTGCAAGACCAATAAGAACTCTTTCCAGGAGAAAGTTTCATCAATACGAACTCTGCTCATTACCTACAGCCAAGGTGCACCCAAACTCCCATAAAGTGGCTCAACCGAAATTGTCACTTGCACCAATATTATCTATGACAAATTCAGCACAACAGAAGTTGACGAGATGACAAACGAAAGTGCTTGCACCAGTCCATAAGTCAGCTTTGAAACCCACACTATCAGGGGCAGTTTTGAGTTCCCTTTCTGGAGGTACTCGAAAACGCCGAAAAAATGGTGCTTAGATTTGGCGGAACAAGCCGTCCCATTCACGCACCACTTGTTGTTTGACTTTGAGTTATAATTTGAATCGAGACATCACAATGAACGTTTTACAACCCAGCGCATGCCATGTCCTCTCTAGTATATGTATATATATATATATATATATATATACCTCTCGTCAGACAATCTTGAAATTCTACTTCATTTTATAATAACAATGCGATACGCTGAACTTCATATACTTGAGGTCCACTGGTATTTGTCACTGTATTTGCGTGTGAGAATTTTGGCAAGTTACATGCTGACAATCCTGTCAAAAAGCTCTGACAAGTGTGGTGTAGCACAAACAAAATATACAACACAAAATATAAAACAATATATGCTTTAGGTATATCAGAATTAAAACAAGAACAGAGCATCATAAAAATTAGTTCGATAAGATTACGAAACATCGCATGCAAATGTTGTAATAAAACGTCTCACCAAGAGGATATGTTGGTTTGTAAACAAAAAGACGCTAAGTACGCTACTGTGCTAATAATATTGCCTCCGAGGCAAGCTTTTTTATGGGAACAGTGAATGGACAGTTATTGGATGCTGAATGCCGAATATTAGAAAACAGCGCTAGACTAGTCATTCATTCAGCTTTTTAGACACAGGCCATCACTCCACCTCCTAGCTGTCTACTCGTTGTATTCGGCTACTGACATTGGTAAATAAAGTCATTTGATTGATTCAACCGTACCTTGAAAATTGTCAAGTGTGTGGCTGTATCTGAAGAACACAAGACTAATTTTGGAAAACGGAACCATGCATAATACAGTTGAGCTTTTCAGGATACATCCAATCCTCAAGGGGATACCAAAAGCTCCATTGGCAGCCACATTTTACGACAAAAGTTTTGGAATAAATGGTGGGGAGAATTTGAGCTGCTAGTAGAACAGAAGGGAATGATTTGACCTAGAAATCTAGCTCTCTAGAGAAGGCGACGTTTTCTATTCGGACACAGAAGGCAGCTTTGAAAACATGACAAAACCGATAGCATTATTGTGAGTTTTTGTTTCACTTGGTATTGCTCGACTCTGTATATCATCTTCTTTCAGTATTGTCTTTCGGTTGGCTTTGCAAAGCTTTATCCCAACTGTAATTCGGAATCTATTTTCATTCTCTATGAAACCATTCGTCTTTGTCGTTCATATTCTCTACCGGTGAAGTTACACCTAAATATGTATGATTTGTGTGTTTTGTATGACTCTCAATACTTGCGGCTAATACAAATCAAATATGGATTGAAGAGGTAAACGAGCTGATATTTTCACTCCTCGGCTAAATTTACTCCACCCTTCATTATCTTTTTGAACGTTCGTTCTTTCTTCTCAGAAATGTCGGATATAATACACAACCCAAAAGCATGAATTTGTGCTCATATATATATATATATATATATATATATATATATATATATATAGTCGCTATTGAGAAATCCTTGTTGAACGATAAGTTTTCAAGCCTCTAGGGCGCATAGATGGATCTCAGAGCTATGGGCAAGAGATTACTGCGTAAAATTACATATAGAGAAAAATGTTGATCTGAATCCACCCATCCTTTCCAGCAGCATTGACTGATAGACTAATTGGAGCTTTCCCAGATTAGTCCATTTTTGAGGTACAGTAATAGGGAACGTATTTAGCCCGTTTTTGTTCATAGTCGGACAGTTCGTTTGAGGATGTAATTTATCATTTTCGGTTATTTTTTTTGAATGAGAATTTCGTCTTATGATTGGGGATTTCCATCAAGCGAACATTGACTTATACTTTCCTGCAGGTGCAGATCTATCGGGTAATCTCGCAGATTAAATGCCTCTATCTGTAAAACCGATCCAAGCTTGCTTCATTTTAGGCCAAACGTGGGCTTACCTCGTGCTCGTACATTCTTCACACAAGAGATTCAGGCGATACTCACCTCCGGAACATTGAGTCCAATGGCATCTCTCAGGTGAGCCCAGGCATCAGTGCTGTCTTTTCACTGTTTTCACCTTGTGCATTCTTCCGAGGTGCTGAGCTCTTCACCGTTGAGCGCAGAATGTTTTACCGCTATTGTCCCATTAAATATTTCATTCCTATGGCAATAGGGCTGACAGGCCGCCACCGACGTTTATCCGGAAGCAAACCGAATGCGTATATAAGTCTCGGTTAGGTTTATAGGTCGAACACTACTGGCGACTGAAAAAGGCAGATATGCAACAATTGAATTCCTTGTTTTCCTGACAATTCCTACAAACTAAGTATTCCACTCTGTCCGTTTTCCCTACTACTGACTGAAATTGTTCCGCTTATCAGTGTCTTTGTCTGTCCCATCCAAATGAGCAAAAATCATCATTTTGAACATTGGGGTATGCTGATCTTTTCTGAGAAACTTATCTATATACCCATTTTATCAGAGTGAGTTGCAGATCAAATACAGTGCTTTTGGAAACTGGTCCGTGGAGCATATTTGGCGCACACTGCAGGTTAGACAATGTACCATATTACATTTGAGCTGCATTAAAACCAAGCTTTCGAAATATGTATTCTGCTATAACCCCTCCCCCCTGGTTTTCGATGAATAAGAGGTTTCGCTGATCTGCTTTCTGTTTATCGTATGAAGATGTCAACAAATGTGAATGTAACTTCCTATTCCAGTTTTGGCTCAAATCGTCAATTCATATTTGACTAATTGAACATTTGTAGTATTTCTTGTGCATTGTGATTAGAGTAACCTGAAGAGATGTCATTTGCATTTCCTTTTTTTACCACTACAATATTCACCAACAAAGGCCCAAGTGGGGATCCCATTATATGCCATCTTCCAGTTCGATTATGGGCACTTCAAACAGAAGTCGTGCATTTGAAGTTAACATACCGCTTTTCTCCTGGATGCTCGTAAACCGTCATACCAACATATCATCCGATGGATTGCATCGTATAGCAGTGCTTGAAGACCATTCCCCCTT